CACCGGCCCCCCGCTCCCGCCCAGCCCGTCTCTTGTGTTGCAGGCACAACAGCTGGGAGCCCGAGGAGAACATCCTTGATCCACGGCTCCTCCTCGCTTTCCAAAAGAAGTGAGCAAACTATAAATATTTCTAAGCGAACGATAAAGTCAATTAACTTCTAATTGGCTGCGCGTGCGGTGGAAGTTGTGGAAACAACAGCCCGAAGCTCGCCCTGCCTTTTGTGGCACGGCCCTTTTGTTCGTCTCCTGAAATTGCAGTTGGGGTCCACCTGGGACACCTCTCCCCGCGATGGGCAAAGACGGGGAATTCACGGCCCGGGGCACAGGCTGGGTTTGCGCTGGCTCTACAATGGGAGCGCGGCAGAGACCTTCCGCTCTCGTTCCCCATCCTCACTGTGTTTGGGGGGTGACTGGAGGCCCCGGTGGGGAGACGGCGCCCGGGACTGCAGAAGCGGTGGGCTCGGAAGGCACCAAAATGTACTTCTGGAGGGCAGAGCTATGGGAGGGTGAGGAAGTAACGGGTGGGAGAAAATGGTGTCCAATCTCAGGGCCGGGGCTACTGCCCAGTGCCGAGCGGGGACCGGCAATTGTTCTGCGGCTATTATCCACCAGGAATCGCGCACAGAGGTGCAAAGCTAGCCAGCTGGCTACGGTGAGCACCGCGCTGCCAAATATTTTGGCTCCATATTAATGCAAATCATTAAAGTTTATGATAGGATTTAATTATAACTTGTTTCTGGATCCATTTTTTTTTTAAGAATGGAATCTGGTGTTTAGTGCAGACAGCACAGTGTTTAATTATCCATATGTATCATAGCTTAACGCTGTCTTTTTTAAATGGAGAACTATAAAATAGTATAGTCTGAAAACATTCCCTGTACGATCACCTCGGGCTTTGTGTAGCCGCCAGCCTGGGCCACCGTGTCCAGACCGGGAGGTGCAGGAGAGGCGAAAGGAGCGCAGCGAGGGAGAGAACCTGCAGAGGTTCCAGGAAATGCGTTTGCTTTTCCTCCGCGCAGAGGCTGTACTGCTTCTCGCCGTGGGCAGCGGGAAGCTCGGTAAGGCAAGGCTGCGCAGAGACGGGGCAGATCTTCCCTTTGCCTGGTCCCCTGGTACCAGAAAAACTGCAAATTTTACCATGACTTGGAAGAGCCGCTGACTCGGGATGAGTAACGCCGTGTGGTCCATCGCTGACCACTGGAAGCGTGTTGCTGTGGGGAGTTATTGTAGCAAACAGGGCTGCTCCCCCGTCACTGCCCGGTTCCCCGAGCGGAGCAGGGAGCCACTCGCGGCGGTGTTACCAACCTCATTGCCTCCCCTTGGAAGGGCTGTGACTGGTACCAGTGGGACAAAGGCACCGGGACTGGGGGAACCGGCGGGAAGGTCCTGCATAGCAAAGGATTTGGGCTCTGGGATTAGTTTGGTAAATACATTTCAGGTCAGTCCCACGCTGTGTGCGAGGGGGGTTCTCTTTCCTCTCACCTCTCCTCCAGTAAATCAGGACAGATACCTGCTGCGGAGCCAGCCGGGTCCTCCGGCGTCCAGATAGCCGTCCTTGTTCTAAGGCCACCATTTTTATAACCTTTACCTCACTTTGTAGTTATTTTTCTTGCATTGCATGGCATTCATGGCCCAGGTCTTCCAGTGACCTGTGCCGGTCCCGCAGGGTAAACGGTCCAGGTGCCGTGTGGGGGAGGTTTAATTGCACAAGTCCCCGGGTCTCCGTACAGTTCTTGGGGCTCTTTGACCGCACTTGAGTGCGGTGTGCCCATAACACCGTGGGTTCAAGTAAGCGATATGCTTGGACCCTGTAAGACTGTCACACGTTGCTCAGGGTTAAGGGCACCTCCCAGCACTGCTCAGGCGCTGGAACGGCAGCTGAGCCTTCAGCATCCCGAGCAGGGGGGGTTAATAACAGCAGAAAGGGAGAACCAGGATGATTTTGGATTGTCATTAATTATTGTTTTTTCAGGGAACATGAAAAAGAAGTGCAGAATCGAAAGAGGGGCAAGCGGCCCAGGGGCAGGCCCAGGAAACACGTGGTGAGTCCTGATGGCGGTGGAAATCCACGGCCATGACGGCGCTGGAGGGGCTCTGGCCTTGGGAGGCACCAGCGGGTGTCTGTGCACAGTGCGGGGGGCGGTGGGTGCTGAACCTCCGGAGGGTGGTGAGGACCCGGCGATGCTGCGGAGCCCCAGTGAGGTGCTTTGAAGATTGCAGCGGTGGGTGCGTCGATAAGGATGCCTGCGAGGGGGACGTCTCCATCGCTGCAATGGCGATGGTGTAGGGGGAGAGAGAAGAGTTCCCTGGCACCAGGGTCCCTCCTGGTATTTAAGCCTGGTCAGTTTTGTACTGTGCGCTCCCTCACTCGTCTTCTGGCTGAGGTCGAGCAGGTCAGCTGACGTGGAGAAAGAACCCGTATGTGTCTGAGGCACTGGGCAGGCAATGCTGAAGGATTCGCCGTGCCCAGGACCACTCTTTGATAATATGTGTTGATTCTTTCCCCGTCTCTCTCCATTGCTTCTCAGGAACCAGAGATGCCTGCAAAAACTAAGTCAAGTAGCTCCTCTTCTTCTACATCCTCCTCTTCCTCCTCCTCTGAGGAAGAGGATGAAAGTGACCTGGAAGCAAAGAGAGGTCCCCGCAGCAGAGAGACGCACCCCGTACCGCAGAAGAAAGCTCAGATCCTGGTGGCGAAGCCTGACATGAAAGACGCTTCCAGGAAGAAGCGTGGGCGGAAACCTCTTCCCCCGGAGCAGAAAGCGGCTCGAAGGACCGTGAACCTGACAAAGGTGCTGAAAACGTCCCGGAAGGAGGTGGGTGGCAGCGCCAAGCTGCTGGGGAAGCTGCAGCCCCAGCACGGCACGCAGGGCTCGGGCATGGCCGTGCTGAAGGACCCGCCGGGCGCCTTGGCTGGGCTCAGCTCGGGGGGGTCATCGGCGGAGAACCTGCCCAACATGCTGAAGAGCGGCTCG